GTGTGTGTGTGTGTGTGTGTGTGTGTGTGTGTGTACCATCAAATCAGATCTGACAGGTACAGGAGGAGATTGTCCTTCCTTCTCCAGCAGACCATCTGGTGGATTTGAACCACATGCCTCTGGGATTGCAGTGCAGCTTCTTGCCCCTAGGCCGCCAGAGCTCCCTTAGCTTGCCTTCTTTCATTGTTATATTCTCAAATGCTCCTGAACCCCAGCTTTACTCACCATTTGTCTTCACTCACTGACCCACGGGGCCAGGGAGTCACAGATTTATATTAGAAATTTGAAGATTTCCTAACTACACCTTGGTGCTCCTGTCTCAAATCTAAAGGGGCAAAGAGCAATGAGAGAACAGACTCAAAGTACTGAGAACTCTGGAAATGGTGAGGTGTGAAACGGGGAAGCAGAGCTGAGCAAACGGCCGTGATCACCTTCCGTGAGTGATTACAGAGGGACCATATTACACACACATTTTATTGAAAAAATGTAAAAATCCTTTCAAGTGCATTTGCCAACAAAGAACTGCCATGTGAAATTGTTTCAAGGGAAAAAAAATAAATAGAAAACAGATGCCAGCTTACCTTGATGGTAATTGTCTCTCCACTTATAAGATCTCAGCATGTCCTCAAAAATCATCTGAACAAATGGAGGCATCAATAGTTATCAGCAAATAAAAGAAACAAAATAGAAAATAAAAATATATGCCTTTTACTAGAAATATAGCAAGAAGCTGCACTGCAATCCCGAAGGCATGCGGTTCAAGGCCACCGGCCGCTCTGCGGGAGAAGGCTGGGCAATCTCCTCCCATGTGATTAACTGCCTCTGAAAACCCACTGGAGGGTCAGCTATGAGTCGGTTCTGACTTGATGGCATACACAACAACAACTAGAAATAAAAGTAAATATTATCTGGAGGACTTTAATAAATTAGAAATACATTAGCAAAATAAGGCAGTATCTTCCACTCCATAGTGTTACAGGACATTACAGTGTCATTTGGACTCAGAGACGAGCTCAGAGGATGGTGCGGGAGCAGGCAGTGAGTTGGACCCAGCAAAACAAGGTATCAAACATGTGCAGCAAAGAAATCTTGTGGGGAGAATCACTTAGAATTAAAGTTGACTGAAAACCCTCAGACCAGACTGAGAATGTCTTCTCAAATGCTACTTTTTCTCATTGGCCTGAAATGATGTCCTCCTGAAACATTTTCTTGACTTTACAGACTCGACAGCATTAAACAACAACAACAACAAGCAGAAAGTGCCTGTATGTGAATTGTACAGGACAGGACCGGGGTCAGATCTGTCGTTCACAGGATCTCTAGGGATCATAGTCGACTTGATGCCAAGTTACAACAAGAACTCCACTTGCAAACAGGCAGAGTTTGGGTCGAATGTGGGCATTTTTCTGCCCCTGAAGTCCTCCATTGTGTTCAGTGAGGAGAAAGTGCGCCAAATAGACTCTGTGAGGAGCACACACTCGTCACAAAGCAGGCACAACCCATGCGGCCGAGTGTGCTTCCCAGACGACGGGACAGCACAGTGAGCCTAGAAGTGAAGTCAATGCTGCTTCCATCCTGTGTCTTCTGTTACTCAAGCTCGTGGCTTGACTCACACCTACTGGCTGAAGTGGATCTTAGTCGAGGTTCTTATTTTTGTCACATGGAATTGAATAAAATGCTGGATGTAACATGAAAAAAAAAGGCTTTTTTAATAAAAGGACTATCAGGGGGCCTGTCCCCGGAGAAGGACATGAAGCTTGGCAAAGCAGAGAGTCAGTGAAAGAGAGGAAGACCCTCAATGAGACAGATCGACATTGGCTCCAACAGTGGCCGTAAGCCCAGCAGGACTGTGACGGTGGCTCAGGACTGGGCTTATTTGTTCTGCTGGGCATGGGGTCACTGTGAGCCGGAGCCCACTCGGAAGCACCTCACATCACAGACCCTAAACGGCCCTGCCCGGGGGAGCAGCAGCCCCAGACCCTACCTCCTCACTGCTGTTGGATTCGGAGCTGGAGGCCCAGTGGCAGTGAACCCAGACGTCCTGTACCTGCTGCGCAGACATCTTCACCGAGCTCCTACAGGTGGCCGCCGGCTGGAAACAACAAAGCCATAGTCACACTTCCAGAAGGAAGGACGGGGACTTCCCACGCAGCGGAGCCCTGCTGTAGACTCGGACGACACTACGTGGAAAGAAAGCCTTTATAGATGGATTGTGTTTCTCCAAAATGAAAATTCCTAAATTCAGCAGAAGTCAACCAAACAGTTAAATAGCTCTTCAAAGGTCAATAGTCCATGGGAGATGCATGTAAAACTCCCTCCATGATCACTGGGGGTCAGGGGGGATGTCTTGGATCATTTCACCTCTGAGCCATAGGAATGACAGGATCTCTGGCAGCCTAGTGCATAAGGAGTTGTACTATCAACCCAAAGGCAGGCAGTTCAAATCCTCTGAAGCCCCACTGGTGGGTCAATTATGAGTTGTTTCCAAATCAACAGCACATAACACAACAAGGGTTGACCAGGCTTTAGTTTCAGCCCCTTGCTCCTGGATTCTCAGAACTTGACATCAGTGACACTTTGGGTGACCATCGAGCCACGGCCTCACTCATGCTGTGCTTTCTGAATCAGCATCACAGGATGGGACAATATGGAGCTCTTCCTCGTGCCATTTAGGGATCACACTCACCCCATAGAAGCCCCTTTGCAAGTTGCATGTAGAGGGGTCTTCTCCAGAATCCCTCCTGCACACAGTCTCTCGGATACTGAATTCTATCTCCATGGTCAAGCTGTCCTCATCCAAGATGTTGATCTTTGTAAAAACAAAATTTGTTTTTGACGTTTACAAGGCTACAAACGTTTCTCCTGCACAATGAAAAAGAATTTACACAATCATCCACTACTCCAGCAAAGTTATTTCTGCATCCTGAGTTCAACGCCGTCAACGCACAGAGAAGAAGCTGAAGAGCAGCAGACAAGTCATGGACCATGGTCATGGGCAACTTTGGAAGTGGAATTCAGACGCTCACGCCCCATGGAGCTCTGTTCGCTCAGTGGTAAGGAAATGTGTTAGCCCAAAGGTACGGAGGTCAAGTCCCCCAGATCCTCAGTGAGATAAAAATGAACGATCTCCCCCACCTTGTGATTTACAGCCTCGGAAAACCTGCTGAAGTGTCAGCAATGTGTCAGTTCTGATTCCATGTGCACGACCTCCAGGCAGGCACTCATTCTAATGATTTCTCTTTTCACGTTTTTAATTGTCATTTCCTCAATAATTCCCTAGTCATTCCTGAAACAAGCCACTGTGTGTATCGGTGCTGGTCAGTGTTGTCCAGAGCAGCTTCCCGCCCTGTCAGTTCTCACCTGGGGACAAGGCCACGCAAGGTCCTAACCGGAGCTTCTGATGCCGCTTCAGGAATGGTGCCCTTCTGACGACACCAGAGTCACTGAGTGCCACTGTGCGTCCAGGGAGTCCTGGTGGGGCTCCTGGGTAAGCACTCGACTGATAAGAAAAAGGTTAGGGCTCCAACCTACCAGCAGCTCCACGGGGGAGAAGACCTAGCACCCTGCAGTGGTGAAGAAGGTAGCCCAGAAAACCCTCATCCTGTGGGGTACTGTGTAGCAGGGGCAACTCAAAGCACCAGCAACGACTTCCTGTGTCCTGCACCAAAGCAGTTCTTTCTCTCTCTCTCTCTCTCTCCTCTCTCTCTCTCTCTCTCTTTCTTTCTCTTCTCTTCTCTCACCCTCTCTCTCTTCTCCTCTTTCTCTCACCCTCTCTTTCTCTTTTCCTCTCCTCTCTCTCTCACCCCTCTCTTCTCTCCATTTCTATCTCTCCCCCTCCTCTCTCTCTCATCCTCTCTCTCTTCTCTCTCTCCCTGTCTCTCTTCTCCCCCCAGCCCCGTCTCTCTCTGGTGTGCACTCTCACTCCAGCTCTCATCCTTCCCCAAGTAGAATCTGAGTAAGAATGTACCTTAGAAGTAAGCACTGTGAGACTTCATCTCATACACTTGGACATGAATGTGAGGGGTCAGTTCCTGAAGAAGGCATGGACACCACGCTCGGTAAAGTGGAGGGCCAGCAGGAAAAGGGGCTCACTACTCACTACGATGGGCTTACTCGGCAGCTGGGAGAACGGACTCAAGGGTAGCAGTGAGGAGGATGGTGGGGGGCTGGGCAGTGGCCTGCTCTGCACGTGGGTGGCTGTGAGATGGCGCCAGCTGGACTACAACTAACAACAGCAAAGGGTGGTGGCTCTCTGTCCTCCTGGCCTCCTTCCACACACACTCCACCCAGCCTGGGTCTGCCCTCACTCTCCGTCTGCATCCTTCCAGGAACAGTCTGGATGCCCCTCGGCGCGGCTGGAGGAAGCCACCTTCATTACTCTTTGTACCTTATCCTTTCCCAGCTTGTTCAGCCCAGGAGTTGAGTGGTCTCAGAGAGAAGAGTGGGAGGACCCAGCCCTGGCGTGCTGCCCGAAGCAGGGATTCTGAGCCCTGTCCCTTCAGATCACCGGGAGAGACTGGCTAATCCTCCCTGAGCGAGTCTGTCCGCGCCATTGTCCCAACAGCATGTGCTCACTTGCTGTCTCTGGACCACATTTTGGCCATCCTCGTAATGTTTCTGACATCCCCATCGTGTCATTTCACCCTTTATAGACATGCTGTTGTTAGGTGCCATCTAGTCGGCCCTGACTTCTAGTGACCCTGTGCACAGTGGATCAAAGCCCTGCCTGACCCGGCGCCATGCTCACAATCTCCGCTGTGGAAGCCCGTTGTCGCAGTCTCTGTGCCATCTCATCAATGATCATCCGACCCTTCACCGACCCCCTGCTTCCCCAAGGGTCATGTTCTTCTCCGGGGACTGACCCTTCTCATAACATGACCAAGCGCGTGAGACCAGGCTTCACCATCTTTGTATCTAAGAGACATTCCAGCTACACCTCTTCTGATAGACTACAGTGCAGGGTGGTAGACGGCAGTGCACTATAAATCTGCCTTTACCCTGGGAAGCAAGCACACCAAAAAGAAATGTGTGTGTGTTACTTTATTGGGATATTAGCTTAATTGTGATCTGGAACCAAACCTGGAATACCTCCAAGATCTGCTTGTACAAGGAATACCCCAGCTGGATTTCTATTAAATTGGCCCCTTCCCTTCCTGGATGTGAGGGGTATTTAAAGCTTCCGGGTGGTGATAATAGTTAGATCTCTGGGGATTAGAACCACTGATCTTATTAGCACAAACCCAGGGGCACAGCAGCCAGACCTGACTCTCCACCAGGTCCTTGTCACTCTGTTCCCAGACACTGTCCCATTCACAAACAGGACTAAGCCACGTCATTCCTTTGGACACAATCCTGGTTGCAAACTAGGAGATCAAATCCACAGGCAGGTTTACCACAGTCCAACTTACTTTCCAAAGATAACTCCACCCTTCGCACCCTCTAGCAGTGTGGACTGTCTTTCTCTTTGTTGTTTTACTCCTAGCCTTTTTAGCTTTTAGAGAATCAGTGTTTTTCCAACTGTTGTTGCTCATTTGCATGGCTTCTTTTAGGAACACGTGTCCCTTCTGTCCCAGCGACCTGTGTGCTCATCTTTCTCCCGGACACTTGGCCTGACTCTCAGCATCCCTCCTCGTTCAGAGGAAAGGAGACAATGGGACAATAGTGGCTGCAAGTTATGTCTCTAAGGAGAGACGAGCAGTCTGATCTGCCAGCCGCTAAAATGAAGTCCCTCCCCTTGAGATTTGGTCTGTGCCCAACAGAGAGTCACCAGGAGTTGCAATCTATTTGAGTTGAAATAAGGGGACTTGTGTTTCTGTTTTAAAGCATTTCTGCAGTCCCCCAGGGTACAAGCAGTAAATACATTGAGCTGTGAACTGAAAGGCTGGCCACGCTGGCTTCTGCACTCTTTCATAAGCTTCCTTCATCCTCTGACAGGCCACGTAAACTACACTCCACATACGTGCGTTCCTAATGAGCCCATCAAGACAGCTATGCTGATGAGATGCTCTGGGAGCAGGAAGAAGGAGATAGCTCACTTCTCCTTTGGGGGACTTTCCTTTTTTTTAATCTGTCACAGCTTCAGTCACTGGAAGCCCAGAAAATATCCCATTTCCCTCTTTCCCAAGATTAACAGGAAACAGAATATTGTTACACTAACGAAGAAGTAGGCTTCTTTGACTGAAAAGCAAAATTAGGAACAAACTAACCCCAAGCCCCTCACTGCCATGGAGCTGATTCATGGTGGGCTCACACACATCAGGGCAGAAATGGGCTCTTCAGGGTCTTTGTACAGATCACCAGGCTTTTCTTCCATGGGACCTTTTGGTGAGTTCAAGCTGACAAACTTTAGGGTGGTAGTTGAGTGCTCACCGTTTGCACCACCTGGGGACCTCATCGCAGCATTCAGAGCAACTATTGAATTTAAAAAGAATACTCCTTTCTAATAAAAGACTAATTCTTTAAAAAAAAAAAGCAGTGTGAAGACTTCAGATCAAAGGTAGAATGCTCCAAGGGCCCGGCCTGGCTCTCTGGTGGTGCAGTGGTTAAAGGAGTGGGCTGCTAACCAGCAGATCGGTGGCTTAACCCACCAGCTGCTCTGAGGGAGAGAGACAGGCAGTCAGCTTGTGTGAAGCTCTCCGGCCTGGGCCGGCCTCCGGGGCAGTTCTGCTTCATCCTGTAGAGTCTGCAGACGTCAAACTCGCTGGGGGACAGTGAGTTTAAACTGGAGAAAAAAGAATCCAGCAGCAGAATTAGGTATCAAAAGTCTCTTTGGGAACTTATGACAATGATTATTACTAAGTTCTTGCCTTGTAAAAACATTAATGTGAGATGACTATTATTACCTTTTAACCTGCAGACGTTAGGAGTGTACTTGTATTCAAATAAAGTGACAGCGTTGAAAAGAGGAGACAGTGAAGTCGAGTGAAGGGACTTCCTTCTGCACTTACCCTTTTAACCGAACCGTGGAATGCCCGGAACAGGTATGGGCTCAGGACCTGGGAATTCACCTTTGCCACGGAGGCGCTCAGGGCTTCCTTCAAGGAGGACGACTCATAGTCATACACTGGGAATCCTGGACACAGAGTCCACAGTGACATGGTGACAAGAGGGCACTTGCCAGGAAGGCTCCGTGCCATTAGATGTTCATTGGGTCCTCACTCCTTACCTGAGCAAGACCAGAAGCCCACGCCAAGAACAAACACAATCAGTGTCTTCATCGTCTTCTGCCTTCTGGGAAGAGGATCTTTCACCCCTCTGTGGTTTAGGGGGTGACAAGGCCCTGCTGGAAACAGTTGTCTTCACCAAATATGACCAGACTGTTCGTTCACCTGGAACAGCTCCTAGTGTACTCAGAAACAATTGATCCTGGGGTCAAATATTTACCATCCAACTTCTCCTATGGAAAAGTTCCAGTCTGAGGTCATTTTGAGGTTTAAAACTCAACTAAAGGTGACATAAGCCTACAGGCAAAACCACAAGCATTTGGGGGATGCCACACGCATTGTTTCAAGCTCTCCATTGTAACTGCGTTCTTTTGGAGGAGAGAAATTGTTTGTTCAGCAAATGACTCACTTTAAATTGTCACAGGGTCTAGAGAAGATCTTCACCCTGAAACCCACAGCGTCCCTTTTCAGCAGGAAGTAGCTAAGAGAATACGCCATCCCCTTTTCCTTATGAATCAGGGTGAAGTCTCTCTCAGGGAGGAGTGATAGGGAATGGCAAAGGACACACTGACAAAGAAGATTAATCAGAACTGGCTTTGACAAGCACTGTGGCAATTGGACAATTAAAACAGACTTTCAAGGGGACAAAAAAGAAAGGAACAAACTGGGGGGGGGGAGAAAATAATGCAACAATGAATGAATGGAAACCCAAAATCTCTGTAAATGTTCATTAAAATTAATAAAATAAAATTTTTTTAAAAATTGTCACTGTGTCAGTTCCCTCTCCTGTTCCTGAAGATCTTGGAATTAACCTTTCATGAGAATAAATTGCAAAACAGTTGTGTCATTATTTTAAGATGCACATTCTAGACATTCCAAGACACTCTTAATAAGAAGCTGACCCGGCACCCTGTGGCCAGCCTCCCCTGCAAAGGTGCATGCCTGTGTTTCATCTGGACACTAATCACTTTTTCCGTTTGATGGCTCTCATGTGCTATAAAACTCCAAAATGGCATGTGTCTCCCTCAAACAGACGAGATGGCACAGAAAGCATAAATAATCAAAGGGCAGGGCGACAAATCGGACTTCAGTGAAAGTAAAAACTCATTGTGTACATCAAAGGAATTTATTAACAAAGAGAGGAGACAGCCTACAGACTGGGAGGAAATAGCTGAGGCCATATCTTAAGAAGAATTTCATTTACAAAATATGTAAATAACCCCAACAACTCAACAGTAAAAAAAAAAAAAAGGCAGAAAATTAAAGCAAAGGACTTAAGTAAACATTTCTCCAAAGAAGAGAATTAAATTACCCACCTTTGGCTTGTTGTCATCACTTTCTATCCATGAGGCCCACAGAGCTCTCTCATTGTTGTTATTGTTGTTAAGTGCCGTCGAGTCGTACATGACTCACAGCAACCCTATGGATGAAAACTTGAACACTTGTATAACTTTCATCATTTCTTCAAGTTCATAGTTTCCAGAGGCAAGCTTAGTTTAGAATGAGGACAGATATGAATATCTTACTGTTGATTGGCCAGGTACCTCTCTTCAAAATTTCTTTATATAGACGGTGAGCGTTTCTAGTGTTCATGTGTTTGTTGAAACAATTCAGTTGATATTCTATCAATTCCAACTCGATGGTATACAACAATTTTTCTCTAAGGTGTTCTGATGACTTAGTGTTAAAGTGTTGTGCTGTCAACTCAAAGGCAGTTGTGTCGTAGAATTCACCAGCAGCTCAGTGAGAGAAATGGTGAGAAATCTCCCCTCGTGGGATCATGTGACTGACTGTCTCTGAAAAGCCACTGGAGGGTTAACTGTGTGTCGGTTCTGACCCAGCGGCACAGAACAACCACCATTCTTCTTCAGTTTAAATTTGTATTCCGCATGGCCCCTGCTCAAAGATGACATGCAAATTCGTGAAGTGTTCCATATTTTTAAAATAAAACACACCTCGTGGCAAAAAAAAAAAACAACAAAACCCCAAAACCAACGTGTATTCCAATCAGCCATAATTACCAGCACATCTCAATCACATTTGCTCAATTTCAGACTACAGAGGTTTGTGAAAACTTCGGTTTCTTCAGCTTTGGCATCAGTGACTGATTTGTATATCTGAATAATAGTTACATTAACTATGTAAAGATAATTGACTGTGTGGATCACAACAAACTCTGTTTCTAACTCTGAGAAGAATGGGAATCTCAGAACACTTGATTGTGTTTGGACAAGGAGGCAGTTGTCAGAACAGAGCAAGGAAACACAGCATGGTTCAAAATTGGGAAGGGTGTATGCCAGGGATGTGTCCTATATCTCCATACCTTTTCAACCTATATGCAGAACAAATTATCCAGGAGGCTGGGCTCTATGAGGAGAAATGTGGCATCAGGATTGGAGGAAGACTCATCAACAATTTGTGTTATGCAGATGACACAACCCTGCTTGCTGAAACTGAGGAGGACCTTGCTGCATGAGGCCAAGGACTGCAGCTTTCGATATGGATTGAAGCTCAACATCAAGAAAACAAAGATTCTCAATACCGGGCCAATTGGCAGCATCAGGATGGATGGTGAAGAGATTGAGATTGTTTACAGCTTTAGTTTGCTTGGCTCCACAATCAACACTCTTGGCAGCAGCAACCAGGAAATTAAAAGATGAATTGCGATGGGAAAGTCTGCTGTTAGGGACCTCTCCAAAATACTGAAGAACAACAATGTCCGTCTGGAGACTAAGGTGCATCTGATCCAGGCCATGGTCTTTGCTATCACTTGTTCTGCATCAGAGAGCTGGACAATGACTAAGGATGATAGAAAGAGAGTTGATACCTTTGAGCTGTGGTGCTGGAGAAGGGTATTAAATATACCATGGACTGTTAGGAGAACAAACAGGTTCATCCTGGAGAGAATGAGACCAGACTGTTACTTGGAGGCAAGGATTGTGAGGCTTCGACTGACCTAATTTGGACATGTTGCAAGAAGGGACCATTCCTTGCAGAGGGATGTCATGTTTGGGAGGGTGGAGGGACAGCGCAAGAGAGGAAGACCCTCTATGAGATGGATTGACTCAGTGACTGGGCTAATGGGAGAAGGTGTGTCAGAGTTGCAGGTGACTCAATGGCATATAACAACAACAATAACAACCTTCTCTGTAGGTGTATGGGTATTATTCTATGGTTGATTATGTTATTCTTAATGATATATCCTGAAACGATATATTATTAAGAAGGCTAATTCCTGGGAAAAGAGCTTTGATGGCTTAGTAATAAGACACTCCACTGGCATCCCAAATGTGGACAGTTTGAATTCAAAATGTGCTTATGATTAAAAATGGGATTCCTGGCACTACAACAAGATAAAGGTAAATAATCCAATTGAAAAATGGGCGCGGGATATGAACAAACACTTCACCAAAGAAGACATTCAGATGGCCAACAAGCACACGAAGAAATGTTCAAAATCCCTAGCTCTAAGAGAGATGCAGATCTCAGCCCGAGAAAGATAACAATCTCGCCTCATGCAATTAACTGCCTCTGGAAACCCACTAGAGCATCAGCTATGGGCCAGTTTGGACTCGATCATACACAACAATAACAATCCCTGGGAAAGAACACCGTACGTGGTAAAGGAAAGGATTTTCTAAAAAGAAGAAATGCCCTCAATGAGAGAGATTGGCAGAGCGGCTTCACCAAGGGGCTCAAACACAGACACAGTTATGAGGATGGCAGAGAACAGGTCCGCATCGCATTCCGTCATAACGTGGGGTCACTATGAGTTAGAATCAATAACAGCAGTTCTATTGCACCTCCTCAGAGAACTTCCTCGGCCGCCCCACCGAAACAGTGTATGCCTTCAACTCCTTTGCATCACTCCCTCTCCTAGACATCCCATCACATCCAATCGCCTCACGCCCTTTCCTGAAGGCGTCTCTCTGTCCCAGTAGACACCAAGCTCCATGAGGCAGGGACTCTGCCCATCAGTCTCTGTTGTCCTGCGGCTTCCAGATGGGAAGACAATGAAACAGGACGCGACTAGCTGAGTGGCTGAGTGAATGAATGAACGCCTGCTCTGTGTGAATGTTCACCCCAGTCTTTCTGTCTGCAGCCTGCATTAATTCCTGGTGTGTAACAGGTACACGGAGCAACACGCTACGAGGTGATGGTCATAAATGCTTGTCATTCTAGTACCTCTAACCTGGATTGAACTCAATTCCATTAGAGCCTTCCAGATTGAACTAATGGGACCATCTGGCTCCCAATGCTATGGTCTCATTAAACGAGCAGTAACAGTAAAAGTAATTGCAGGAGAGTAGGGGGAGGGATTAGGGAGTCAACGATAAAGATAATGTTGCCCGCACAGGGCTATTGATTGTGTCTGCAGCTTGCTGACGCAGAGACAGATGATTTTATTTCTCCAATTCTCTCAACTACAATTAAGTGCTGGCACCAGACATACACACAGCAGGCACTGATTAGCGCTAAAAAGCAATGATCTAACATATCTTTTCCAAGTCCGGCCGGCCGTGCCTGGTAAACCTGGAAGATTAACTAGGACCCTTCCATCAACGTTCAGGACGTAATTATGTGTTTCATTACCATTCCTGAAATCCACAGAAGTGGGTACAGCACTCATTCCAGCCGTTTTCTGCCATTCCAACACAAATTATTTAGCTACTGAATGAAAACTTCCATGGCACTAAGGTAAGAAGATTAGTCACAATCCTAAAAGCACATGGTTTGAATCCATGAGCTGCTTCACTGTAAGACTTACTGTCTCTGAAAATCTGCTGGAGGGTCAGCTCTGCGTCAGTTTTGACCCAACAGCACACAACCAACTAAAGGCCACACCAGGGAGGTCTGGTAGCTGAGTGGAAAGGAGCTGTGCCAGTAACCCAAAGGTACATGGCTCAAATCCACCAGCTGCTCCACGGGAGAAAGATGGGCAGAGTCCTCATGTGATCTGCTGCCTCTGGAAACCCTGTGGAGGGTCGGCTGTGAGTCACTTCCAAGTTGACGGCCGCAGCAAGAACAAGAACACAGGGTGCTGCCTTGTCTCAATGCTTCAGGCAT